GAGCTCCAGTCTCTGGGGTACACCCATGGCGGCCCATCTGCCAGGCCCGACCTGCTGATGTCAGGCAGGTTGCTCTTCAGTTTCTGGCATCCGAAGATCTTTATTTAAACAAGACTTCCCTGACTGCCCAGCCATAGTTTTATTGGCATTGTTTGATTTTAAGGATTTTAATTCTGTATTTTATTTCCCTTTTTATTCTTCACAGCTCATTAATTTTCCTGGATGCAGTGTGGCACAAAAATCCTGGAAATAAGTAAATAATCAGTACTGAGATGGCATGCAAGGTTGGGAACACAAGATACGGCAAAGTAAAGATGGCTGGTGCACAACTGGGCAGTTGCTCTGATCCTTTACAGATTTCGGTCCCCTATGGTGCAATCCTGATTCTCAGTCTGTGCAGGCTCCATCAAGCTTGCTGCAGGTGGCAGATGTAACTAGGACATAAAGACAGGTGAGAGGGTTGAGTTCTACCTTGATAAGAATCCCATAGTCAAAATCTGGAACAAAAGCAACTTAAAAATGAAACAATTTGTGGGAGAAACTAAAGCCTACCAAGCTATCCATCCAGGGATTGGACTTTGAGTGCTTAGCTCTTCAAAGTCTGGGCCCTTATCACTGTGTATTTAATCATGTTAGTGTTTAACTAGGTTGAATTTTTTTTTTTTTTTAGGTTGAAATTTTTTATTTAAATAAAAACATACTACAAAGTTAAACATACTAGTGTTTAACTAGGGTCACCTTGTCTTTTTTTCTCTCAGCAGATTGCTCAACAGCTACATGGCAGGCAACTAAAACATGGTAATTTTGGCACTGGGAACAGCTGTTCCTATTACATTTGCCTGGCATGGGTGAGGCTGCAATTCCATTTTTAAGAAGACTTCAACAACATTCACAAAGTTCTTCCTATTTAGAAAAGAACTTGGGATTCTAACAAATTTAAGTTCTAGAAAAGCAACTGTGATAGATAGGACTGTCCTTACTATGATCTTGGCAAGTCCTGTGCATAGGAGGGCTACTCAGTTTTCATGCGATGGTACAATGGATTCCAAGGCCTTCTCTTGGTTCATACACTCCCTGCCTAAAAACAGTTATGGTACTTTCCTAATGGCAACCCCACCTAAAAAGGATGCTGCTGACCCAGCTTAACAGAAAGGCAACCAACATGCTTCCAATGGCATACAAAATATTTATTTACAGGGCTAGTCCTGAGGTTGTTCTGAGGCAGTTTCTTACTGGCCATCAAAAAGGAAACCATCTGTTCCAAGGATTGCAGAAATTTTGCATTTTGAGCATGCTCGATCTTTTATGTTGTGCTTGGTGTTTTATGCCAGGCACAAGACAATTTTAATGCTTCCTCACATAAACTATGCTTTTCTTGTGCAATCTTGAGTAATTTGAGCTGGAATAAAGTGACAAGAAACACATTATGAGCAATAACGGAAAAATAATGTTCACAGGCGTGCTATTGTATTGCATCATAATATGCAAAGATGCATGTTTTAAAACTAATCTTTAATTATACAGGTGATTTTCTGATTGTGATCTTAGCATTCTTCTGAAAGTTGACAAGAAACAGGGAGTGCTTCTGAACTGTGAGGCGCCTTGTTACCAGACAGGTTTCTTCATCACAAGCAACAAAGGAAATGCATTTGTTGGTGAACATTTCAATGCGAATCAAACGACCCAATGGAAATGGGGTTTAAAACCTCATCAAGCTCTCACAGGGCATATTTCATCTTCAAATGCAGACTCATTCCTGTAAGTGATTTCTGAACAAGAACATCCTCATTATATCAGGAGGAAAAGCAGCTGAAAGAGACATGGGTGGCATTTGGAAGCAGGCTGCTGGCTCCTTGTTTGAAATTCCTCTATGCTAATAATTGATGTCAGAGACTTCCATAAATATCCCAGAAGTGTGTTAGTAAACGATTTAGGAGCAAAAGCTCAAAGCTCTAGAGATTGCTGGAAAGCAGAGAGGATTGGCAGATCAGCATTGCTACTTCAGAAGACCTAGGCTTGGCTCCTCACCAGTTGATGGGTTGCAATACAATCGGATAGAGGCAAGCTTTTCATCTGCTTTGGGACCAAGTTCCTTAACTAAATGTTTGAAGGGGGTATGATAATAAATCCAACATGCTTATCTATGACACATAAATGGGCCAGGATCACATTTTCCTCTAGGTGGGGGCAGAAATGCTGTGAATTTTAGCCCAGAAAGTACGTAAAACATACTGGCCATGGATTAGCATCTTGCTTCAGTCTGGAGTGCCAGTCAATACCTTTAAAGGCTAGGATCCTTGCTTAGGGAACAATACTTCTTGTACATCTTCCCTCACACTATCTGGGAAAGGCCCTGCCTCATATTCTTTCTTTCTCACATGCAAGATTGATTTGGACAAAGACTACGGCTGTTTCCATTCATCTTCTAGAATTCTGTGCCTAGGGAAATTTGACAAATCATTTGTCAGTTTTCTTTCTACTGCCAAGTAAAAATATTCATTTATACCTTTTCCTGGATATTAAATGATCAATGTTCTGCTGACTTTTAGTACTTGCCATTTTAGTTGCATTCTTATAGCTTTATATCATATTTTATATGGTTCTAAGCTTGAGGTTGTAAGTCACATTGAGAACCTTGCTTTAGGTGAAAAGTTAGTAATATTGAGAGCAAAAAAAAATTATATGCTTCATCCTACGATGAGTTCTTATACAGTAAGCTTTCATTTTTTAAAATCCTAAGATTTCAGATGCTGCTTTACCTTATCAGCCGAAGTATGCTTGTACGCTCGAACAGAAAGTTGGGAAGAGGAGAATCTCCAGGAAAAAATGTGTTTACAGTCATTTGGAATTATGATCATTCCTCACACCAATCTCGGCTTACCAGCTCAGTTAGCACTTTGAACTAGCTGCAGTCTGCAAGGTGCTTGCCACTAACTCCAGGTGTCTGAGGGGACTGTTGCAATGTGCCAAACAGCTGCCAAAAGGTGTGTCTTAAAAGAAGCTTGAGAAAACTTAGTGGGATAAAATAGCAAAAGACACATGTCTGTATAATGATAACCCTTGTGTAGGTACACACAACTGTTCTGCCAGTTATACTTACCAGGCATAAATTTGTTAATTCTTACACTGCAAAAACACAGTTTCAACTTTTTGAGCCTTCTTCCTTTCACACACACACAAACAGTTCAATCAAATCCATCTTTACAAATGATGAGCTTGATGAAGATGAGTGTCCTCTACATGAACTTTATACAGAAAGGTGCATTAGAAATTTCATAAACAATGGCTTAGATCCAGACTTAGTCTCAAGGTGATCAGTGCGATGCAGTCTAAGTATGACTAAGTCTAACTCTAATGCAGTAAAGGCAATTGGCCAGTTCATACATCATCATGACTGATGCTCATGTGAAAGCGCTAGTTCTGTGATTTCCAGGTCTTCATGGTGGGGTACCCCATACATGATTGCTGGAGAATCACACAAATAATGCAGCCCCATGTGCTTTTCATATAAATATGTGATGCTTGAGCCAAACACAGTGGAAAGAGTAGGTTTTGAAATAAATTAATTTAGTGAATGAAATGGCTCACAAGATCTGGATGCCTGAAGTTATTCTAGAAATGTGTTATCACAGAGCCCTTCGAAAAGTCACCTGCTTTCCTCAATTAACATAGATGCTGGTGCTCTTCTAAAGGAAAGCGTAAGACAACATCATTAAGAAGTTAAATTGTTGCTATACAAACGTAACACACAGCAGTAGTTCATAAGCATCTACCAATTCGTCAGTCATCCAAAAACATGCCTGTTTTTGTGTCATTATAAGTAAATTAACTTTTGCACAATGGGAAGCAGTTTTTGTATAGTGTGTCTTGTTAATGACATCTTAAATTTAGTATTTTAGCAGTAACTTCTCATCAATTGTCAGGAAGTATTATTTTCTTTGTCAACTAAAATACTTTTTGTTCACTCTTGGTTGAGATTTTATCGCTACTATACTGAGCAGTAATCAATAACACTGTTCTTTTCCATCATACTGAATCTCAATGGAACATTTTAATTAAAACTCACATACCCCAAGCATTATTCATTTTCTGCTGAAACACGTTATTTTCAATTTGGTAGCAGAGCAGAAGCATAATGAGAACAGTGCAGAACTCTCCTTAAAACCTACTTGAAGATGAAGGCAAAGAGCAGGAACAGAAGAATAATAAATCAAGAAAATCTAACCATAGGCCCCATTTTAACAAATCCATTAAGGTCTTTTTATTTTTATTTCTCCAACTTTGTTGACTAACATGAAAACAGAAAATTTTCAGACCACCAAACCAGTTTTCACAATCTGTTGATTATTTTGCATTTTACAGAAATAGTCCTAGCAAACATTAATAGATGAATGGTGCAATCAGAAAACAATATAAGGCATATTTACACCATCCTTACAAAACAAACACACAGCCACACACAAATCCTCACAAGGTTCAATTCCAAAGACAATTTTACATTTATAGTCTTGGTACTGAACAAAATATTTATCCAAGCAGCAGACAAACCTCTTGTTCGTGTGTGATCTACTTGATACTATTGTGTTCATGCAAAAGAGACGTTTGCTTTATTGTGTTAACATTTTTAAAGTTTTTGCATTTACTGTTATCGTAAGCTCCATTCTTCATCCAGTGGAATTCTGAGTCACTGCTATTATTGTGGACATAAAATGATGAATGATCCGATGATAGATTTGTTCTACAAATGGGAAGCTTGTAAACCAAATGTCTCAATCATGCAAATTTAACTATTATAAAAGAATCCATAATGCATTAGTTTTTTCATTTCCTTTAAAAAAGAAACAAAAAAGGTCAACCCCTCGCCTATCCAACACCCAATTCACAGAAAGAAATAAGCAGCAGGAATCCAACGAGTAGACCAAAAAGAAGTACATCAGTAGAAACTGGCAACATAAGAAACACCTAATGCACCACTGACATGTCATCAAATTTTGAAACAACTATAGGCCGTATTTTTGTAACAGTTCAGACTGCCATGGGCGTTTCCGTTCAGGGAAGTAATCTGGAATATGGATTTGTTTAAAATCCTGAATGCATTTTTTCATCTCTTCTTCAACACTCAGCTTCTCACACACTTTCCGTTTTGAGAGATTCGTTTCTCTGGACTTGCTCATAAGTGTCTGAAAAAGTTCACTGTTCCTGCGTTTGTCTGGCGGGGGCATCCACTGCGCTGGGGCCTTCTTGGACTGCCGATCCAATGTTAACGTGTTTGGCTGGAGCCCTGCAGACTGCTGGGTGCTAGCGGCATTTTCCTGGGGAGTGCTGGCTTCAGAATGGCTGTCACAACTGGACGTGGACAATTCATTGCAAGACGTTCCACTCTCGCTTCCTTTGTCTGTAACTTTCTCGTGCTTCGTCTCCTCAGTGTCGTGTTTGGGAGACACTGTTCTTTGTGGAGGTCCTAGTAAAAGGAGGGGGGAAAGTATTAGGCAATGAATGAAGCAAAGAAGGAAACTGTAATAATTGTCATTGCTGTGTAATTAGTATTAGTATATAATTTAGAAACTAAGCAAATTTCCACAAAAAATTGAGCAGTTTATGTCAAGAATGTGAACTTATTGTGCAGAGACCTTGAGAAAGTTATTATAATGCTATGCTCATACACTGAAGTATCCAGTGACTCTGGGGAGGCATCAGAAACTAGTCCTGGTCTTTCAGTCACTTCTGCAGACCCTGGGAGGTGTCGCTGCCTCCAGGTTCTGAGGAATGGTCTTTGGATTTGAACAGGAAGCCCTGGCAAGCAGTCCCCACTGCTACAACTTTCATTCTCTAGAAGTAAAGCCTGCAGGAAGAGGCTCCTGGCCCTTTAAGAGGCAGATGCACCACTTGAAGGGGTGAAATTTTCATAAAGACTTTCCCTGCCAGAGAGTCTGCTAGTTGCTCAAAGGCTGCTGGACTGTCCTGTGAGTTCTCTAATTGTAGAGCTGTCGAACTAGGTCCTGAAATATTGGTAGACAGGACAGGTGATGGGTTCCTGATGGAGCATGTAGTAACCATTTTCTCTGTGTCTTCCTGACAGTTGGGTAGCTATAGGAGTGGCAATAACGCCCCCTCCCCCAATATCCTCATTTCACATCTTTTGTATTCATTTTAATATTAGGCACAGTGAACAATTCGCATCCAAATAACTATCTTAGCTACAGAGGCTAAAGCTCCAGTTTCATGAATAAATGTCAGTTTGGGTCTGCCTTGTCCCAAATCATCTGATCTGAAAGGAATGATACAGTCATTATTCTGCAACTGGAGCAGCTTGCCCTTCCTCAGGTGGTGCATATGCTGCCACTCTTGCCTTCCTGAAATCTGACTCTCCGCTGGGCTCCAACACTCCAGAGGCAGATGCTCCTAGACTAGAAGGTGCACAGGACCGTCCTCCTGTAGCCAAATTTCAAGGCTCCTACCTGCTTGCCTCTTTAAGAATCCTTATGCTCATGGACTCGTGCAACACCAAAATTAAGCAGTCTTCCCAGTTATACAAAGAGAGGTTTCTCTCTTGGCTAATCCAGGCTGGCAGGAGCAAGAAGTTGGTCCCCTTCTCACCCACTGGCCCATTTCAGTAATGCTGATGGAAGAATCCCCTGCCCACCTGTTGTTCCTCAGGTATTCCAAGGAAAATGCACACCGCTTCTCAGTGGCTACGTCCTTCTTTTCTCTCCCAGCCCCTCTCCTGACCATTCTGAGATTGTCCATGCTTTGATTCTCCTTTGAGCATTATTGCAAAATGTCTGGATTAAACATCATTATGAATTGTTCTACATGCTAAAAATCATGTATAAATCAGGTCTGCTTAGGTATCATATTATCAGTGAGTATATATTTTCTTTCTTTTAATGCAGCTCTTCTTCTATACAAATGAAATCAAACTTTGTCAAAACATGTCTCTTTGCCTAGCCACAGGTTCTGGATATATCCACTTTTCCCTAGCCCATATTCTTGGTCAAGATGCGCTGAACGGGAATAACAGGCTGAAGTCTAACTGGCCAAAACCAGCAAGCTTGAAAAGTGTTGCCTTCCCACACACCACAAGCCCTGTAACTCTGAAGCATTGCTCACCAAAGCTGGAAGATTTTGGAGGCAGCAGTGGCAGCAACAGCAAATGATCACGTGAAAGTGAAGTGCTTTCTTTCCATCCTGCATGGCTGCAGCACACAGCTGGGTTAGGGGCAGCCGTCAGTTGCTAGGGGATGGAAGCATTTGAACAAAGACCTCTGGGAGCTCCTCTGCACCACACCCTCCACACACAGGGTGGAAGCCTTCAGCTATAATCGCTAAATCATGCCTTAGTTTGATAATCCTGATTCTCAGTTCTGCTATTATCTTTTATCAGCTCCACTGGCCAGAGGTCAGAGCTTTCCAGTTCTGTGGAGAGAAGACCTTTTCTCAGCACATGGCCACTAAAAAGCTGATATCCCCAATCGTGTGCCCCCAACTCCATGAAAAAAAACTCAGCCTTTTAGGCAGAAAAGTAGGGCAAATTTTCAGAAAGTAAATAGAATATAGAGTAAATATATATTTTAAAAAATACTTTGCTTCCCCTTCACTTTTTCACTCTGAGTTTCCTCCATGTTGCTCATGAGATCCCCCTTCCTCATATAATATTATATCCTCACAACAAGGTAAGTGAGGCTAAGAAAGTTAGTGGAGCAAATTCACCCTATCAGTTTGTGGCTAAGTGGAGCTTCACTCTGAGTCTCTGTGGACCTAATTTAACACTCTAATCAGCTGAGAGAAGATTTTATAAAAGTTATATAATACGATGTTCTATCATTAAAATCATATATACACTAACCAACATAATGGCCTGTGTGAGGGTTCACACTCCTCTTGAGAGTGTGATGTAGTGGTTAAGAACATGCAACTGGGACTCAGGCGACCTGGAGCCATGGAACCTACCTTACAGGGTTGTTGTTGCACAGATAAGATTAAGAGCAGGAGGAGGAAAATGATTTTAGCTGCTTTGTGTTCTTTAAAAAAAGATAAAAGTTAGGATATAAATCTGATAGACAGACAGACAGATAGTTAAATAATGATAACAGAGGGTTGTATTAAGAAATAAATACAGTGGTATCTTGGCTCACGAACTTAATCTGTTCCACGACTCTGGTCACGACCTGAATTGGTCGCAAGCCAAGTCAAATTTCCCCACAAGGTTCAATGTAAATAAGGTTAATCCATTCTGTAAACATATTTTTTAATCACAAAAATTTGAAATGAAGTAACAAAGAACAACAAAGTAACAAAGTACAGTACAGTAGAGAATACTAACCTAGGTGGGGGGGAGGTTATTGTTTGGAGGGAGAGTCCAAAAGATAAACGTGTGTTAGAGATCGTCCTCATGCAGGGAAGACGGGCCCATGCATGGAGAGATCCTCACAGGGCTCCAAAGCTGCATTTCACCTTATCTGGCATGTGGAAGGACATGCCAGGGAAGGGGAAGCTTATATATGCTTTCTGTATTCCCATCCTGCCCTAATTGTCTGGAGGATAATCACTGCAAAGCCATTCAGGACCTGGATTTCAAGCAAACTGAATGGAGCAGAAAGCAAAGACTGGATGGGGATATGAGGAAATTGCCTGTTGTGTCCAAGTGCACTCTGTTTTCCCCTCGGAGGAATCAGCAATCCATGGAACCCTATCCAGATCTCTGCACACTGTGCTTGCACAGGGAAGGGCAGCTTTCCTACACAGCAGGCTTTAGCTAAACTCTCCAAACTCTGCCAGCTTTGCCTAAAGACACAAGGGTTTCTCATAGAAGGAGTTGAACTGAGCACGTAAAAGCCATATGCCTGAGACAGGGCTATTATTTTGCATAATAACAGGGGCCTGTAACAGAAACCTCAGACTAACCCTAAGTATAATGTCCCTCACAAATCAAACATCGCAATAATAAATATAATTGGTTTCTTAATAGGTTAGAGTAGAGAAACTAAAGGAAATGGAGAGTATCAAACACAGCAATGAGACTGCCCAGACTAGCAAAGGCAGGATTTGTGTCTTGATTTATTCCATTAGGTTTTATTGCAGCTGACGTTAAATGGGCAAAAAGCTGTTTTCCATAATAATTACTGTTCTCTGTTGGCATGAACACTGGTGGTGGTATCTCAATTGCATGAGTGGAAAACATATGAGTAGCATAATTGGATTGGGCTGTTTTGTACAGATGCTGAAGTTTTTCCAGGATATGATTGCCCCCTTGGGCTCATGGGCTTTTCTAAATGAGGGGCAATTGTGAGACTAGAAGATCCCCCCCTTTTTTAACATGCCTTTATCTACTTTGGGATGATAAAAGGGTTTTGATGGTAAGTGAAATTCCCATAAGGGAAATTACCCTTTAATAGCACTGAGCTCAGCAGCATGTGAATGGTTATGTAGTGCCTTGAAATAAGGGAAGCCGTTTATCATTAAGAATGGGACTCCATGCTACTAAAGTGATATGCATTTATCTAATGCAACACTATCAAACTTCCTTGTTTAAAAAGAGAGTTGGGCTTGACCGAACTCCTTTGAAAGGTAAGAAAGGCTTCCCAATGTTTCACTCATCTACATGGATTTAATACAAAGGTTCAGCTCTGATCCACAACAGAAGCAGGCCTTGGGGTATAAGGCCCATGTTGCCTGATGCATGCAGGCCCCTCCCCATGTCCACCCCACCCCCAGCCTGGCTTGCCTTTTCTGCCTTATTCTGCTGCCGCCTTAGCAACAGCAGCGGGTTTTTTATATGGACAGTTTTTATTTGATTTGTACAATCCTTCCACAAAACCAAACATCAGTGAAAAACCACTGAGAATACAAAACAAACACGTACCCAGAGAAAGAGGAAAAATGAAACAAACAAAACAAAACAAAACACACAGCAATGATCAGAGAGAGAATTCACTAACAACAGCAAGTTCGTCTCAACACTCATTCTGATATTTGGTCAACCTATATTAGTGATGTGGAACAGGAACTTTGAATATTTGTGTGTGTGTGTGTGTGTGTGTGTGTGTGTGAGAGAGAGAGAGAGAGAGAGAGAGAGCGCGCGCGCGAGAGAGCGAGCGCATATATGTGTACATATATGTTATTAGCAACAGTACCGTTGATGCTCTCATGCCTGGTGGAGAGAACTTGTCCCTTGTTGCTGTGTGCAGAGGATGGGTTCCCAGAGAGCATGCAAACTATTGCTGTGATGACAGCAAATACTGTTAAATACAACTTAGCTTTTTATCACAAATACATCCAAGCACTGGGAACATGGGCTCTCTCCAAGGCTGGCTTGCCCACAGCCCCTCACCCTCAACTGCAGGTGCTCTGAGAAGCTCCACAGGTTGCTTTTTGCAGTGGCAAATGCCACAGCAGCAAAAGGAGCAGCAGCTCCAGGCAGGTGGTGACCAGTTTAGAGTTTAGGAAGTGTTGATATTTTTA